GCAGATCTACGGTAAATGTTCTTTTAGGCACTTTGTAGTTTATGACAAGCACACCCAGAAAGTAAGATTTGAAATAGGGCCTAATTACATTGGGCAAACAAACCTCCCATAAGCAGAACTTCTGAGAAGCAGGATGATGCTCAGTACTCCAATTAGTACCTCTTAACAATTCTGGGTTAGAATTAGTTTGATGAGACATTTTAGCATCTCAGCCCAGGTAGCCTTCCAGCCAAGATTCTCTTCTGGGCTCCATGGCTAAAAGCCTATCTAAGCCTCTCAAACCTTCGTATGGCTGCCCACTCCCTTACACTTTCCATGTGGATGAGTCTAGATTCAGACCCTCTCTGCCTCACTCTGACCTTTCCTGTGCTGGGATAGCACAGGGTTGCTCATCTGTGAGAATGCCCAAGTCCCAACCATGCCAGTAAATACTTGTTCAGCAGATCAACTGCTATAAATGGAAACGTTTTCGGTTCGGAAAGAACCCATCCAAATGCCCTCAAGCAAAGAACAAATCTGGCTAGCTCCCAACTGCGAAACACTGAGCCAAGGAATCTTTAAAAAGATCTAATACAACATGTTGGTGTTTGGAATGTTTTAGACTCTAGAGTACTTCAGATTTTTAGATTAAACCAGCTAAGTGTATGCAACATCCCCAAATCCCAAAACAATAATCTCCAAAATCTAAAACGTCTGGTCATGAGCATTTCAGAGATGGGATACTCAACCCGTTTCCACACACCTAATATATCCTGGCAGACACCTGCAAACTCAAGCCCTTACCTCAATAAGGAATTCAGAACTTGGTCAGGCCACAGCTATCATGAGTCAACGATAGATGACTGTTATTGATTTTAGGTTGTTCTCAAGAAGGGAAAGTATATCATCCCCCAAGATCAAGACCCCCTGCTGTGCTGCGTCTCAATTCAGGTAAGGCAGCCACTGTTCTGGCAAAAGATTTTGTTTTTGATTCACTGCAGACGTGGAAGACAGAACACAGATAGCCAGGGCTTTCAAATCCTCATGTATGCATGTTTTTATCCTTCTTCCATTGGTTTTTTTAATTAACTTTATTGGTACATTTTAGGTATACATTATGATCATATTCAGCATTGGGAATTTGTACCTGTACATATCTTTTTCATAGGTTTATTACTGCAGTGTCTATCTCCAGAAGAGGCACATTATTTTCCACAACTAAAAACTATTAACATTACCTCTTGTAGAAGTAAATCGTAGTTAACATTGAACACTTTTACATACTTGTTCACATAATGAAGTGAAAATGTTTCTTCAAAGGAATTCATTGGGAACCCTTGTCCCATTCTTGTGTCACAGAAGATATCCTGTCTCTTCGCCAAAGATAGGAAGAGCACCATAAACAGAACAGGGCTAGCACATTCCCCTCAGGCCCAGTGATACAGTGGCTCACGTTGTGATTCACACAGCTCAGGGAACCTTCTTTTCAGCCACAAGACAAGAGTTTTACTTGGGGCCTCCTTCCTTCACACTGGCTTTAAAAGTGGGTGATAAGTTCAACGCTGTCAGCAGCTAATGCCAGGCCCAGTGTAGCTCATGGGTGGCTATGGCAACATGCTGCCCCCCCTCTCCCTGATCCACATGCTTATCTTGCAGGGATGGAGTGCAGCTGGCAAGGTGAACAAGGGCTGTCAGCATGAACTTTAACATTCATTTAGTTTTTGATGAGGGGAAAACCTGATGTGGGGGACAGAGTAATTACTGCCAAATCTTTAATGAGAGTTGGGTAACTCATGTAACAGAGAGGTTAATCAGGGAGTGGTGGCTAGGGAAGTTAGAAACTTCCAAAGGAATCCAAGCTGCTATGTAAAAACCTTCTTTGTACCAGAACTGTCCGATATACTTAGCAGAAAAGCGTCACTGAGATAATTAAATATTAGTATAAAATAGACTGTGAAACTATCAGAGATCTTTAAAAATGAAGATGTTTAGAAGCATAAACATTTTTTTAGTGAGAGGACAAAGCAAATTCAGAAACTTAGTGGTTTCTTACGACTTCATATGAACAATCAACTTGTCAGACATATTTCTGACTGGCTTGGAATAGGACAAGGATAAAACAGAATCTTCCCCAACCCTGAATTTGGGGGAGCACAGGTGTTGCTGGGGCCAATCTCACCCTTATTAAGCATCAATAAAGTTGGTCAGATAGACCTGCTAGCTAATAGTTTGTCTATTATATTTTGACAAAAATAAGTATAAATGAAGAAATAGCCTAACTTAGATGTCAGGTTTCTGAAACATGGAATCACAGATAACAGACTGAATGGAAAAGGAAAGAGCATTAACTTTTGTCTTTAACTTGAATTTTTAAAAGCTCATTTTTTACCTTGAGAATTCAGTAGTCAATGATTTTCTGATTTTGCTGTCCTATTTCATTTTAGAAAATCGTGTGACACACTACAGATGTTCAAATAAGGTCGTTCCTACCTTACACACTAGGAAAGTTTCTCTAACATGAAGGTTAAATGAGAAAGACAGGAAAACAGCCTCTGTGGGCTCTTGATCTACAAACATTCAGGTGACAGATAATCAATCTCTGCTATACCTACCCTGAAAACTATCTTCAAAAGATTATGAATATAGCCTTTCATTGACAGATACACACATATATCCTGGGCCTATCTCTTTAAAAATAAAAAGAATTCTCTTTAAATTTCCATTTTAGTGAATGGAATTTACTAAGCTTAAGTGAGTAGTACTGTAATGGTCCACCCCCTGGGACAATTCAAGATACAGTGAAGGTACAGCGGAGCTGCACAGATGTAACCCTAGCTACCCAAGAGGCTGAGGCAGGAGTAGCACAAGTTCAAAGCCAGCCTGGAAACTTGGCCAAGATATTATCTCAAATAAAATTTAAGAGGAGGTGGGAATGTAGTGCAGTGGTAAAGCACTTGCTTAGCATGGGCTCAGTCCCACTTAAAAGAGCCAAAAAACATGCCCAAGGTCTAAAAGCAGTAATTATTTTAAGGCACATTTTCTTTTAAAACTATTCACTTTTCCTCTTTGTTATGGTCCACAGGTTAGGGCAAAATACAGCAACATGGCTTCAGCAAGCTCCCCAGTCATTTCAGACCGCAGTACCCTCATTTGTCAAAGTATATCACTACTGTTTCCAGTGGTATCCTATAAATTTATTTCAAGGTCATAAAAAGTCCCCCAAATCCATTGTTTGCCACCAGCCTGTTATCCTTCAGGATCTCAATACTTTTCCAATATACCTATTTTCTGGAACAGACTTAAGTATATGGCATAAGGGGAATTACAGTATGTGTTGTATATATGTTAAGTATGTGTTATGTGAGACACATGCAGAGAAAGGTGTATTCATTATTCCATGTAGACTGAGGACACAGGTTTCAGTTCCAGCTTCTCAAACACCTGACTCTTCCCAATCCAGGTTCTTTCCTGAAGTGACATCACTATCTTTGAAATGAGAAAAAATGTAAATCTAGTAAGCTATCCTGCCTCTAGAGCAAAGTGGCCCATCTCATTTGAAAACAGGAATAGCTCAAACCTAAATCTATATACCCTTACCAATGGGACCTTTCTCTTCAGTATTAAAAGTAATAACCTGAAGTCTATTTGGTATTTATTTTTAACAGTGAGCAACTTGCAGTATATACATCTCCTTGAGAACGCTGGAAGATCAAAGAACTTTTCTTATAATCTGCAATCAGCTACTCAATCAAAAAACAAACCAAAGCTTTGACTGCTTGTGGAGGAAGACTGGAATAGCTAGTGCAGAGTTCTGATTCTTGGTGAATTGTCTTTTACTTCTTGGGAACATTTTAGAACCATGGCGAAGGACTTATTACCCTGAAAATGTGGTAACAACTCAAAATATTCAACTGTTTACACTCTGTTCTTACACAGTACTGTTGTAAATCATGTAAGCCTGCACTGAAAAGACTGTGACAGACTATGCTCCAGCAGACTGCCTGTATGCATGCCTTCACCTCAGCATGGCTGGAAATGAAACCTGGTAATTAAAGTAAGTAGAACTAAGAATGTGAGCACTGAAGGGTCTTCTAGGTTCAGAATTCTGACAGGTAGCTGGTATGGGCCTGGTTTCTGGGCTCGAGCGTACGCCTAAATGTGTGCGATGAGCCTGTCCCACAGCAGCCACCGTTACCCTTTTCCTGATTATCTACTGTAACAAATATCATGACAGATGCCTTACCCTCTCTTCCAACACTATCAGCTTTAAATTTCAGATCAGAATCAGGACCCAATGTTTGCATTTAGAAACTGTCAGAAGACCACAGGTATCCCCTTGATTCCTTACGTTTTTCACTGCCCACATTAGTCGAAGTCTACAGCCAGTGGCTAGGTCCTCTTCCAAATGGTGTTCTCACTGCTGAGCACACGAGGAGCATCACAGCATCAAGGAATTAGGCAGGTCTTCTAAGCCAAACCACTCATGCAGCAAGGTGCCAGCTCAGGGTTCAACAGCCCACTTGTACTTTCCTACCAAACTGCAAGGTAAGCGATCTTCTCAAGGTACCATTCCTACTGACAGGGAAGACTACATATTCTACCTAAGAAAGCTTGTTTAAATAAAAATTCAGTGAGTATGGGTTATTTCACATTTTTAAGGGTAAAGCTATGAAAGAAATGTAGATAGTGGCATTAGGCTCATAAATACTTTTAGAGTCATTTCCATTTTCTTAAGATTAGTACCACCCCTTTAGTAACAGTAATAGGAAACAGTAAAGTGTTTACCTAATTTAATTACCTTGACTTTTAGTTTAATAGTTGTTATTTTCAAAATTATGAAAACACAAAGAATAGGTTTACCTAGATGGCATCACAAAGATTCAGCTAAGTGGTTGATAAATGCACAAGATACCAGCGTATCACTGTTATTTTGTAAATATCTAGTTCCTATGAAATCCAAAGTGCTTTACTACTTGTAACCATGTACTAGTTCAGGATGCCAGCCTGAGCACCAGTGGGGTGTCCCAAGCATTATTTTCCTACTACATGCAAAGGAAAGTTCACAAACAACTACTTGAAAAGTTTAGCTTTTAATGACAAACATCTATTACACCAGTCTCTCTCCAAAATAAGGTAGATGTGAATAAACAATTTCAAACAGGAGGTACCACAGGGCCTCTTCAATACACTGTATTCAATGCACTAGGCCCCTGGGGATGCCCAGTGATATACACACTGAAGCAGTAATGTAAGTCTGTGAGCCACTGCTCTTGAACACCACCACTCTTCATTGTCTGCAGAGAAAAGAATAATATCAGAATTATACTCAAGTCATTATGCCACCCAGTAGCATTTTCACACCTAACTGATTCTTAAAGAATAGGCAAAAGTATCACTATCTATAAATTACAAGAAGTCTGTCAAGAAAAAGGGAACTCTTCTATTAAAATTGGTATGACCACAGCAGGGGGAGCCTGAGAAATCTTTTGTTATATTCTAAAGTATTACCAGTTTCTTTGTGAGTCTGTTCCCTCCTGTGCATATTGGACATTTCACAATCTCTACACTCCTTTTCCCCTCCCCTGGGCATTCTAGTCTTACAAGTTCTGTGCACTACCATCAACTTTGAGTCATTCTACAGGGCCAACCTACAATTTCTGTTAATCCTTTTACAGAAGTAGGATGATTCTCCAATCTGGGAATCTTCCATTCCACTATTTGTTAAATATTTCCACTGCTATTTCTAGTTCTTCTACAAAGACGACTCAACAATTCAGAATGAACACTTACATTACAAGCATGTAAAAAAGCTCCATTACTCCAAATTGTGACTATATATATGTCAGTGAAAACCCCCAAACATTTATACAAAACATCTATTTAATCCTTTCAAACCCAAAACACCAAGGAATCTAACAAAGCTTCCCTCCAAAAGACAGAGCCAAAGGCAGAAAGCCACTTAGTAGGCAAAGCTAGAGGCTGTTGCTCAACTGCCTGCTTCTGATTTTATCTTACTAATGTATCTTACTAATGATTAGAAATTAGCCTGAAGTGATACTTAACAGCAAGCACTTAGTGTCACATGCTTTAAACACCTTATTTGGATAATCCCATTAAATGACTGCCAAAACCCAAAAGCATGCAAAAAATGGCATTATTCCCATTTGTATAGATAGAAAAACATGCTTGACTAGATAAGAAAAAAAAAAAAATCTTGTCAGGCTATCATAATTAAGCAATAAAGAAGTCTAATCAGAGTATAGGTAGGGAACGACCTCTGATGCCTGTACCTTTTCCAACCAAAATGCCCAGTACCACTTCATTCAGTTTCAGTATTTTAAGACTTTATTTTTCTTAATGGCTGTGGAATCATGAGGCAACCCCTTGGTTAAATTGGAGGCAGGACCTAGACAGTAAGGGAAGCTCTGAGAACACCACACTGGGCTTAATTCCAGGCGTCAGTCTATGCACAGGAACCCTCCTTCCTAAAAGCAGCCCCCCACCTTTCCATGAACCTACTACAGACTGACAATACAAATGCCTAGGCAACACGCTTCTTACAGTGATATTCTTGATGATCTGCTGCACCAAGATGGCATTTGTCAACATGTGAGTCCTGAGGGGAGCGTGCTGAAGCAGCAGGCGCAGCAGCTGGCCAATAACAGGGAGCTCTTCAGGCCCAACTCTGTTCACCCGCAGGCTCTGTAGCATCAGCCTGAGGACTCGAGGCAGGAGAGCCAGAATGGAGACACAGGCCCCCCAAAGCTTGTCCCTACAACAATGGAGACAGATATATGAGCCAGACAGCCAAAACACACATGAGAAAAGTATCCAAAATAAAATTTTTACATTCTCCAAAATGGGAATGGCTTTTAAAGAAATACATTTCTTGATAAAACACAACAAGCCATAATAATTAATAGGAATTGGGTTTCATCAGAACTAAATAAACAAATCCAAAGAATATGTCACTCTCCCCTGTTCTGGAGTTCCTAGAAGCCTAGCAACCAGCACTGTCCTAGGCTTAACAAACACATTCTTAAACCTCTTTTGATCATATAAAACACAGAAATAGCAAGAGAACAGAATGATCGATATATATAATTCCCCACTCACTACCACTGTGCACTATCCAACTATTATACAATGTAAAAGATAACAGAATAATGATAGCCCACTGGTAAAAAGAAAAATTCATGAAAACTTTAAATCTATGATGTGGAGAAGCCTATTTAATATCTTAAGAGAACAGAACAGATCTGCAGATAGATACCTGACTGAGGCCAAAGTTTCAGGAAGTAGATAGTAAGAGAACCATTACTGCAACACTAGCTGCTTATGAGATACCATAGAGCAGGAGCAAAACAATGTCAATAGTTGAGACAGATTAATTTGGATATCTAGTCTAGCCACATTCTGCTAAAGAAACAATTAAATGGAGCAGTATCCATCTGCAGTAGCCCACAAACTGCTTAAAGCTCTAAACTGTTGCAACTTCTGCACCAGAAAGGCACAACCCTTCAGTCTTGAAATTTTCCGAAGGGAACATGGTTACCTCTATGGTCTGGATGGAGCCCTTTCACCATATATAACCAAGCTCCCTTATTTTATATAACAATTCCATCTAAGATTAATAATGAATCCACTCTAGGCCAACCAGACACTCTTATTAAAGGGTCTTTATTCAGCATGTTGACTGACACAAAAACAGGTTAGGACAGCCATGAGCAAGGAGAAAAGAGAAACTCAAATTACAGAAATAGCTCATAATGAGACAGCATAGAAATAGAAACGATACAGTGTAGGTGGGAAAAACAGAATAGCGCTGCTCTGGTTCTGGCTGGATTTCTAATATAAGCTCTTGTGTTTTTACAAGTGATTCCTGTAATAATTCAATACACAGTCAAGGGTCACTTAATGACAGGGATATACTCTGAGAAATACATCATTCCATCACTGTGTGAACAAACATCACTGCACTCACACAAACTTATAAGGTGTCAGTCAATCATGCTTGGCTTCTTGATGAAATCAAGAGATACAGTAGTATGAGCTGTTACGAGGCTGCTACCAGCATACTCTTTTATAGTAAAATTTATGAGGTGCACACTATTAATAACTAGAGCCCACTAAATACATAAATCAGTAACATTTATTATCAAGTATTATGTGCTGTACATAATTGTATGTGCTGTATTTTTATACAACTAGAAATGTGTAGGTTTGCTTACACCAGCATCACCACATACATGAGAGAAATGTGTTGCACTATGACTTTATGATGGCTTCAGTGCCACTAGGTGACATGAACTTTTCGGCTCTATTAGTCTTTTATTCCTGGTTCTGGGGAAGGAACTCAAGCTTCACTCATGCTAGGCAAGTACTGTACTCTCCACTGCTTCCCAGCCCTCCATTATAAACTTCTGGGACCACCACTGTATATGCAATCCTGCTGACTACAATGCACAACTATATTCATTTTCCACCCTTGTTAATTTAAGCAGTAGATGAATAAAACTTCTACATCCCAGAAACACTAGCAGAACTCAGAGAGAGCGGGATAAAGAACCTGATGTGGGATTTTAGGGTTGTAATTTTCAATCATCAATAGTGTTGGAAGCTTAGGACTCAGGCCTCAAGTTTGAGAGTTAAGGACTTGAAACAGGCTCCCGCATAGACTGGGAAGCCAGGAAAATGCAAATGTGAAATTGTTCCATAGTGAATATTCCATAAATCTCCAGAACTCCCAAAAGAGATGCACTTTGAGAAAAGGTGTACAACCCCCACACAGGAATTTGTTCAACCATTATCAAAGACAATCCTCAGAGTGCTACTTGCTCTCCACAATAGGAAAGAATTCTCACACTGGAGGTAAAAAGTAGGAACTGACTGGAATTTTAAAGCAATAGCAATAAACTATGAACAGGCAAGAATGACAAACTGCCCAGTATGTAAAAACCTAAAAAGAAATAATCTAAAAGAAAACAAAATACCTGATGAAATAATCAGTAGTTTTAGATAAAAGAATTAGTGAACTGGAAGATGTTAAGAGACAAAGATGAATAAAAAACTCCCTATATCTAAAAAGAGGGCTTAGAAGTGAACAGAAACAATGGGGGGTGGGGAGGGGGTAAGAGAATTGATAACTGAGAAAGGGGAAAAACTGAATCTTCAGATTAAAGAAGAACACCAAGTCTCAAGCAGATACATAAAAAAACCTATAGAAGAATCTTTGTATAAAAAAACAAGAAAGAAGACAAAGAACATTATATCCAAGGTTTAGAGGACAATGTAAACTGGTTACATCATTTTGGCCAGCATTTATAAAATCAACGGTTTCCAGTAATTTGGAATTCTCACCGTTTATTATCTCAGAAATACCTTCTTTAGTGATGAAGGAGTAGCCAAAAAAGAAAGTTAAGTATCTTGGACTCTGGCTGTCAACACTTCCTTGTGACTAATGCCATCTTAAAAAATGTATACAATCCTGTAGTATCAACTTTGCCATTATCCAGTATAAAACACCTATATGACTAGGTAATTTAAATAGTCCAACAAGTATTACCCACACAATTTTATTAAATCAAGTCTCAAAGTCAAAGCATGCTGTTTTGACACTACAAAAGATATTTGAAATTTCAGAATAAAATATTTAATAAAGGGGTTGTATTTCAAGTGACAGAAAATGACAAATGGCAATACACATAATTCTTAAGTGGAGATCTTATAAAATCTTTAGGACCTTAAGTTCCTTGCAATTTATAAAGACTTTTCTGTCCTACCAGAGATAGCCTGATGATACATAAAGAAAACACCATCAAATCTATATCTGTCAAATCTATAATGTACTACAGTTAAACATGTCTGATTTTTTTCTATACATATTCCTACTTTAAAAAAAGTGAACTGAATGTAGACATTAAAGCAGATGTTATGGTACATTCAAATAGCAGAATTGTGTAGAGCAGAGTCAGAAAACTATGGCCACAGGCCAAAGCCAGCCCACAGCCTACATTTGTAAAAAACAAAACAAAACAAAACAAAAAAACCTGTATTGGAATACAGCCACACACTCATTTATGTAGCTATTATCTAATGTTGCTTTCACACTACCACAAGTGTTGAGTAGTGGCAGACTTTATAGCCCACAAAACCTAAAATATTTATCTTTTTTTTGGTACTGGGAATTGAACTCAGGACCTTGCACTTGCAAGGCGCAGTGCCACTGAGCTAAATCCCCAGCCCAAAATATTTACTTTTCGATCCTTGTGAGAAAGAACTTTGCTGACCTCTGATATAGAAATAAGTGCATGAAATACAGCCAAATGAATAAAAATCAGTCTTATGAATGTTGAATCAAATCAAAAAAAATATGTATACTATATAAAGTCCACATACATTATGCACCAAATTGTGCCATACCCAACTTCATAAAACAATTACTAATGAACATTAAAAAAAAAATCAGATACACACCAACACAATTATAATGGAAGACATCAATATCCCACTGTCAGACACACGAACTAGAAAAAAAAAAAAAAAAAAAAAAAAAAAAAAAAAAAAAATCAGATGACCCAAACCTCTGAACAAATGGACTTGATAGAAATCTGTAAGAATAAACATTCTTCTTAGCAGCACACGGAACTTTCTCTAAAACAGATCACATGCCACATAAAGCTTAAGTAATTGCTAAAGAAGTGAAATTACACCATGGATATTATTAGATCATAGTGCAACAGAACTAGAAATCAATGCCAAAAGAAACCACACCAATTATACAAATGCATGGTCTAAAAACTCTCTTGACTAATCAATAGGTCACAGAAGAAATCAAGGAAGAAATAAGACAGTTCACAGACTCAAACAACACCAATACAACATACCAGAACCTATGGTACACAATGAATATGTCCCAAGAGAGAAGTTTATAGCTGTGAATGCCTACCATCAGAAAAACAGAGTGAATCTTAATAAATTACCTAACCATACACCTCAAAGTCCTAGAAAAACAAGAACAATCAAATTCCAAAGCTTGTACAAAGAAGGAAATTATAAAGATCAGAGCAAAAATTAATGATATTGAGACTTAAAAAACAATGTAAAGAATCAATGAATGACAGAGCTGGTTCTTTGAAAAAATAAACAAAATAGACAAAACCCTAGCCAATGTTACCAAAAACTGGAAAGAAAAGACACAAATAAATGCAATTAAAAACGAAAAACGCACTTGGGAGGCTGAGGCAGGAGGATCGCTATGAGTTCAAGACCATCCTGGATTACATAGTAAATTCCAGGTCAGTCTCAACTACATAGTGAGACCCGTCTCAAAAAAAAAAAAAGAAGAAAAAGGCAAAATCACACCAGATTCTGCTAAAATCCAGATTATTAGTAACTTCCTCAAGCATGTACTCCTCTAATAAAGTGTATACTCTAATAAAATGGAAAATTCAAAAGAAATGGATAGATTATCCCAGATACAAATGAACTACCAAAACGGAAGCAAGAGGATATAAAAATCCCAGATAATCTAATATCGGGCAATGAAACTGAAGAAGTTAAAACAAAACAAAACTACCGGGCCGGGGATTTAACTCAGCAGTTCGGCGGCCTGCCTTGCAAGCGCAAGGACCCAAGTTCAATCCCCAGTACAAAGGAAAAAAACAAACAAACAAACAAAACAAAATTACCTACTAAAAAAACCCAGGTCCCAATGAATTTATTGCTGAGTTCCACAAGAACCTTAGAGACAATCTAATGCCAATGTTCCTCAAACTCTTTAATGAAAGTGAAAGGGAAGGAGCATTCCCAAAGTTATTCCTGGAAGCAAGCATCGTTTTCTCGTAGGCCTAAGTGAAATAAATCAGACACATGGTTTTTCTTACATGAGAAACCCAAAATAAAATTAAGAGCAAAATAAATATAGAATAGGAAAAAAAGTTCACATATATGAAGAACAAAAATTACATTGTTCATAAATGCCTAAAAATATTTTTAAGGCAAGAAAGTTTATCAATACAAATGACAGGAAGTAGGAAGAGAAGAGAAATAGCTGTGGAGGGTACAGAAACGTGTATATGCTGATGATGTTCTACTTCTGAACATGGGTGTTAGTTAACGGGATATACAGTTTATAATTACTCTTCTAGAGTATATAAATCTTTTACATGATCAGTATGTATGGTACGTTTTCCTGACATTCTAAATAAATAAACAAACAAATAAATTTTTAAAAGTTCAAAAGTCCAGAAAGGCATATATCAAAATAATAGTAGGTGAATGGTCTTTATTTTCTGCTATTAGCTCACCTTGTTAGATTTTTAAAAACTCGTCTACAATCAGTTTTGAATAAGCATACCAATAAGAATATAAGGCAGGGAACTAAAAAAAAAAAAAAATTCAAGTGGAATCTTCCAAATTACCCCAGAATCTCTGGTCCCAATATTATATAAGAGCAAAGTTCTAACTCATTAAAATCACAAGCATCTTTACATAGTATTCTTAAATCTAAGAATTTAAAATTCCACTATGGGAAACTCTAATGAAGCATAAAACAAAATACAAAGGCTTATACTAATAGCCCATCTTCCTACATAAAGAATTATTTACCCTGCTAGACCAATAGCAAAGTTTCTCAGGATACGCTCCAAAGAAACTTTATAATGCATCTAACTTTTCAAAATTATTAACAAAAACATAAAAACTAAGAATTCTCAATACAACACAGAAATTCATGAAGGAATGAAGAAAAAGCTACTAAGCTAACACAAACTCTGATAGAGAATTTACAATATTTCAAAAACAAAACTCTGTTATTTAACTTATTTACCTAGGAAGAAAGGGTACAGTAGAAAAAATATTAAGGTGGGGAAATAAAAAAATTATTACCTCTTTTTTAGATGTTCAGGTTCCCCTTTCTCTAGAGTAAGCAGAAAATAAAGAAGAGTGTAGCAACAAGAAGCCAGAAATGGTAGTAGACTTTCACTAACTACACACGTATGATCCAGAAGCTTACAGATAACACCAAAAACACAGCCGGCTGTGCTGTCAGGAATTACAGTCAATGCAACCTGAGAAGAGAAAAATAAGATTAATTTCCTCTTCACAAAAGCCCAATTCCCCAAATAAAACCAAAACCTGTTAACTATAGTTAACTTACTTTGCTTTTAAGCTAGCATACACGTCACCTGCTATACCTTACGGTTTTACTTTCCTTTAGGAATTTAATTCCCAAATTAAATGACATTGAAAACAAGCAAACTTTATTTTTTATAAAAACATTTAGCTGTACTGGGAATTGCACTCAAGGCCTCATGCATGCTAGACAAGTGCTCTGACAACTAAGCTACACCCCCAACCCAAGAAATACTATTTACACAATTTACTATCTCCCCTTCACGATGAATCCTTCTAAAACTTTCTAGACACTACAGTTTCTGCTACTGGTTGGAAATATTACTGTTTAAAAGTACTGTTTCAATGCATCCAGAGAAAAATCTTGATAGCAACAATCACAAAAACTCTTACTCAACTTTTTAGACTAAAAAACATATATCTAGTAACTACCTTGTATCACAGGTCATTAAATGTAAAGTTCATTTTACATTTAGCCTTTCTCTACCCTTTGAATTTATCAGTTAGACACAAATAAGGAAAATACATCTACTAGAGTCAGTAAAAGGTATTATAATGAACAGTTGACTGCTTCCTTGCCAATAAGCCCTGGGAAGCCAGGTAAGGGCACTACAGTAGCATGCTCATTCATCTAGACTACACTGTATATACACCATTATTAAGGTCCAATCTAACTTTTAACTGTAAAAACGTAATCTGAATCTGCTGTAAATTGCTGCTGAATAATCAAATACCAAATCTATAAACTCTAAGGTCTGAACCTTTTCTATCAGGCTCTCTCAAACTGGTGGCCAAGATTAGCTAGTACGTTGATCTTTTTCTAGAATTATGAATGTAATAAGAAGAAAAGCATAAATCTTTGGGGCAGAGACAGGAAAAAAAAGGTAGCCATCTTTAATGACAAAAACGATAAGGACTAAAAGTTTGGCAGGGAGAAGAGATTATTTGGAATTCAATGAAGTATTCCCTTCCAACTCAAAAGACATAATACTGTAAAAGAGAAAAAATGAATTGTGGGTTTCTCTATAAAAATTATCCAAACAAGTGAATCTTGGGACCATGTTGGTGTGAACCTTTTAGAGCTTTCAGTGATACAAACAGGCCACTGTAGCACGGTGTACTGTCCTATGAAGATAGAATTTAGAGCCCTCCCCTGAAATGTATGTAACACATTATGAAAAATCAAAATGTAAACTCTGGAGGAAGTTGAAAAACAACAATGAAGGCACACTTAATACGAATTTAATACCAATGGGAATAAGAGATACACAATGGCCAGAAGGTGTTAGTCTCAAGGATTACGCCACTGCTTCCAGTGACCGAGTGTCTGATGTCCCTACTTTATATTCCCACCATCTAGGTGGGACTGAAGCTCCAATCTGTACTCTGGACTCCCAAAACATGGCACCAGACACATGTGAGTTTAAACCCATCCCCGTACCGGGGATCAAACTCAGGACCATATACTTTGCAAGGCAGGTACGGTACCACTGAGCTAAATCCCCAGCAACACTTGTGTTATAAGAGCATTACAAGTCAGAAGGGACCTGAAATATAATTTTAAAGATCCTCATCTCAGAGTTACAGAAACTAAGGTCCTATAGGAAAAGAAAGGATTATTCCTAACATTACAGAATTGAATAGTAATAACCAGGGAAAATACCAAGATCTCTGTTCTCACCACCACATGACACCGAGAGGTCACAGTACCATTAAGGTTACAGGTATAGGCACATTGTCTTCCCTTTGACTCTAGCAAGCTGAAACTTAATCTATGAATGTTTTTTATTTTTTATTTAAGAGGAAAAACAAAATTAACGATATTTACCAGATGCTTACTGATGGCACTTTGCAGGATGTCAAAACTTTGACTTCGGGCAGGGATAACCAAAAAACTGTGACAAACTGCCTGTCAGAAAAGGAAAGAACCAGTAACCAAATCATGACATTTTAGGTAAGAATAAGTTGAACAGATTTTTTAAAAATCTACTTGCTCTATATATTTAAAAAATGACTTTAAAAATGCAGGTGTCAAAAATCACATTAAGACCTGAAATATAAGGTAATTTTCCAAATCATTTATTAATATGTGCTGAGTACTGACCTAGCTTAAAGTCATATTCAAGAATAAAAGAATGAGAAACTCCTCTGTTTTCTCTCACATCCTTCCAGTAGCTTACCAAGATGAAAACTGTTATTTCTTTTAAGTAAATCAATGATAAGGGGTGACAAAAGCCTTCCTGCCATTTGGGGGAAAAATGCATCACAGAAAAATGCTTATTATCTACAAAATGCTAATATAGGCTGTATACTATCCAAATGTTTGGGACTAGAAGTGTTGCAGATTTCAGAGTAATTTTTGGATCCTATAATATCTGCATAGATTTTACCAGTTGGGCATCCCTAATCTAAAAATCTGAAATCCTCAATGTCCCTAAATCCACAACTTTTGTTTGCATTACTGGGGAGTGAACCCAGGCTTCTGCACTCAGTTATTCCCAGCCAGTTTTTACTTTTTATTTTGAAAGAGGGTCTCGTTAAGTTGTGTAGTCCATGTTTGGACCTTCAGTCCTTTTACCTTTTATTAATCATAGTATTCACCATACTAGTCAAGCATTAAGTCCTTTGCAGATAGCAGCAAAAATACAAAGAAAATTGCATAGAGCAACAACGGTTAATGAAAGAAGAAATATCCCTTTGGGGAGAGACTGGTCAAGCTAAGTTTAAGATGTGTGTGTGTGTGTGTGTGTGTGTGTGTGCGCGTGTGTGTGTGTGTGTGTGTGTGTGTGTGTGTGTGTGTGTGCGCGCGCTGGAGCTGGAGCTGCAGCTCAAACCCAGGACCTCAAACATGCTAGTTATACAATAAAACTATAAATCAACCTTCAAGCCGTGTGTGTGTGTGTGTGTGTGTGTGTGTGTGTGTGTGTGTGTGTGCGCGCGCGCGCTGGAGCTGGAGCTCAAACCCAGGACCTCAAACATGCTAGTTATACACTCTACCACCGAGCTGGACCCCTAGCCCTATATTTTGTTATTTATGAATTTTTTTGAGATGGGCAAATCAATAACTCATTTCTCTATAAAATTTCTTAGAGTGATACTATCAGAGTTTTTAAATAGCAATTTGTCTTATCAATGGGGGGAAAACTATTTCCAATGTCATCTTTCTGCCACAGTGAATACCATCATTAATAAAAGGAAAATTACATTTGGAAAAATGTCCGTTCAATAATAAATGACCACTTTATATCTTCTCTTCTTGAGCAATTCAGTTCTAAAGCCAATAGGGGAGCCAAGCCAGATAAACACTGAGAATGAAGTGGGTAAAAGAGCTGATGCAATCCATAGCAGGCTTACCATGTATAGGGGCAGACTGCCCCCAAGAGCTAGAATCCAAATGGAGTGAGTTAAGAGGGGTGCAGCAAAGAGAAAGTGCTCACAGACTAAAGAAATGATGGCCAAGTTGTTGTTTTGTTTTTGAGACAAGGTCTCATCTCATTATATGGTTCAGGCTGGCCTTGAACTCACTATGTATTCCAAGCTGGCCTCGAACTCATGGTGATCCATCTTCCTGACTCAGCCTCCCAAGTGCTGGGATTACAGGTATGCACTATCATGCCCGGGTCTGACGGCCAAGTTTTTCACAGTCAGCAAAAGCAGATGCATAGTGAGACTCTGTCTCAAAAAACCAAAACCAAAACAAAACAAAAAAAAAGTATGGAAGATGACTAGAATGAACCCTGTGGTGTTGAATTCTTCTGTCCACCAAGTGGGATAGAAATCCAATAGTAATGAGCACACTTAGATTCCACGTGTTGGTTTCTAAATACCATTTTCCATTCATAACAGTGGTTCACCATAAGCTACTCTAATATACTCTTTTCTTTGTAACAGGAAAACGTCTTACTCTCCCAAGTAACTTACCTAAAAAGTTGCATGTACTGCCATAATCACAAGAATTTGAATTTTCCCTGCGGATTAACAAGTCACCATACAGAATAAGAGAGAAAAATAAAAGCAGAAAGCCTAAATTGAACATTGTTTTCAAGATCCAAGAGTTGAGGTTAAGGGAGGTTAAGTAAGGAGAAGCTAAAATTTTATCTTAATAACTAGTAGTGGTTACATATTAAATAACAAAACCAAGCTGGGCATGGCAGCTCACTCCTGTAATCCCAGTACTCAGGAGGCTGAGGCAGGAGAATTGCTGTGAGTTCAAGACCAGCCTGGGCTACATAGTGAGTTCCAGGGCAGTCTCAACTACATAGTGAGACCCTGTCTCAAAAAATCCCAAGTAAACAAACAAACTAATAAATAAAATAACAAAATCAAATAGGCTTTTAAGGTTTTAGGTCCATAATGCATTTTTTAAAAAACAGGTTATAATGACAACAAGAGAACTGTCACCTTTCCATGCACAGTTCTAAATGGAAAAGGCTATGTTGCTACACACACACACAAAAAAAACACCACTAATTTTTTAGTGATTTCAAAGCCAACAGTATAAGAAATGGTAACTTGAATCCATTAGTCACAACTTCATTCAAATATTTACCTAGACTAGAATATAACAGACTTACAAAGAATAAGTGATTTTGATATACTAACTTTGTTTATTAAAATCCAAGACCTATGTACTCTAACTAGCTCAATACAATTACACAAAAATGATGTTCTAAAGCAGTAGCTCTGGTCTTCACCTGGTGCTAAACTTTAGCAACAGAAAATTAACAAGATATGAATGAGTAGTGCATCTGGGCCCCACAGAAAATGACACACAAGCTGTCTCTAAAAGTATAAAAGACAATTACTAGCTTTGGGGTGAAAAACAATTCTCAGTCAGGCAAGTTGAAAGCAAAAAGGAATGTAAGACAATATATGATTATGGGGCCAGGGATTTAGCTCAGTGGTTCTGCCACCTGCCTCACAAGTGCAAGGACCCAATCCCCAGTAAAAAAAAAAAAAAGATTAGTAATATATGGAGAGATATCACAAAATATAAAATCATAACATAAGAGGAAAGTTTCAGAGGTTCAGAATTCCTTTCTTAGTGAGAAGTTTGGACTTCATCTTGTTAGAAAAGTTTTCCTACTGGTGAGCTAACCAAAATGGGTGACATGTTACTATGAGAATCCTCTGCTCTTTTACCAGGAGATGCAGTCACTCCTATTTAGCAAATGTAAAATTTGTGAATACAAGATTTTACTTCCAACCATGAAGAACAACTTAGGAACAGACTTACAATCCCAGAGTGGACGAGTAGAAAACTGATTAAGAGTACAGAAAATTACTATTTTCAAACATCAGGCAATGCATAACAAAGATCAAAGTCATAAGCTCAGATACTATCTTGGCTTTCTGCTGAAGGCCCTTAATAGATTATAGTGCAGGAGAGGGAGCCAAGAATATATGACAGGTTTTCTAATCAAAATGAGACATAAACAGACCTTTGAGAGCTGTGGCAACCAAAATTTGTACAGGTAAACACTGCAGTAAAGAGAAAAAGCTCCATTTCCTCAGGTTATGTTCTGAATACAAACGTTAGACTTCAGGAGGCCCAGCAGAGCAAGAGGTGTGAAATGAACAATTCCCAAAGTCCAAATGGGCCAGAGAAACTTTTCAGGAGGGTCTTGCCAGGTCATTCAGAAGATAGTAAGAGACATACAGTGAACTAAGTTAAACCTAGAACAAAAGCTGGCAAACTTCTATAAGGGGCCAGACAGCAAACTTTTCCTATTAAAGGCCATATTGTATGAATGAGTTTTTCCCTTTTTAAAAGTTTAGTAACATGTAAAACTAAACAATATAGCAGGGTTACGTGCATTTAGCAGACATCCACAAGGAAGCAAAAATACGATTAAAACTTAAGACAGTATGTTACTCCAAAGCAGGGGTAAAGGAATTTCAAAACTATTGGAAATATTATACAGTATTTCTTAAACTGGATATGTGTAAAATAATTATTTTTCAGAGCTTATCTATGTTAATTTCTTTGGAGACTGAGGATGTAGCTTGGTGGTAGAGCATGTGCTTGGGTTTTGATCCTCAGCAACACCCTCCACACACACACACTCATTCTTTTGCAACAATTGAATATCTTAATATACATGACAAATTAAGCTTAAAAATGTTTGATGGACCTGGAAAGGGAATCTCCACTTGGAAAAGGTATTGTTCAGAAATGATACATTCTTTCCTTTGAGATCTTTCTTTACTGTTTCTAAGAAATAAATCAAATAGCTATTTTCTAGTGATCAGAAGGTAACAAAGATACTACACAAAAACTGCAAAGTCCAGACCAATGTATACTGTATATTACTTCTGTAAAAGAAGGAAAACCAAAAGAATATATGTAGTCTTTTAGAAAGGTACAGAAAACATTTGCAACTAAGAGAAACTAGGTATTAAAAACTAGCAAAATCTTGGGAGGGAAACTAAGTGGCCAAGATACAAAGGATAAAGAATTTTCATGCCTTGAGTAGGGGGCCATGCTAATCTTCTGTTTATCATTATTCCAACGGTAGTGTACGTGGTACTGAAGATTTCTTTTTAATATGATCAGTCTGTCCTCAATTATATATATATATTATATATATTTATATTCTCTCAAATTTGTTCCTTTTCCTTCTCCTACCCTCTCACTTCCCCTTTCCCCTTTAGGCCTTATCTTCCTACTTCACATTATACATTTTGATCCTTATTTAGACTTTCAGTTTCTCACACCAGAGACTATTTGGTATTTACATGTGTATCCTATTTATTTCACTTAAGAGTATGGCCTCAATGTGCAACACCTATTCCAAAAAAGCCTGACTTTTGCCTAAGCAGACAATACTACCATAAACAATCAAGCAATCTCATTCTACTAACTTGTCCAAATAAAGTAATTATTTCAAACTTTTCATGTGAAAGCTGACTTAAATACAACAAAGTTTATGACTTTACAATTTTTTTCTAATTTATTTTCTAACATTTCAAAGATAGTAACCTTGAAATTAAATTTATAGCCTTGCCAAATGTTTACCTCAGAAATACAGTTGATCACACTTTCATGACAATTTTATCTTGGTTTTACAGCGATGACACACTTTTAAACATTTAAATTGTCAGAAATTAGAGAACTGCAAGAATCACCATTTAGTTCAAAACCTCATGAAAATAAAGCCTAAGTTGTCTAAATCATCAAAGTACACATTGGCAAATCTGTATGCTCTCTTCACATCATCACAGAATAGTTTAAATACAACAGAATCAGCCTACCTTCTAAAACAATTACTACTATACTGTTGGCAAATCCAACTCCTGGATCTAATATTTTAGATCTTAACCTCAATTTGTTATATGAAATAAAAATTTCAGGTATTAAATAATTAGGCTGGTTACCCAATTTATTATTTCTTTTTACTTTTTAAAAACTACTATTTATGGAGAACCTATAAATAAGTTCCAGGCATGATGTTAGTGCTGTAACCAGAGTTAAAGCCACAACAGAAATATTAAATATCTATAAGAGACACACCCCAAAGGCAGAGGAAAATGTGAGATTCCAGAATTGAATGAAGTGAACAGATCAGTTGAATAAAATCAGTTGGTATACTAACAATACAGAACTGGATTATAACTACTACTGTTAGTAGTTTTAAGACCACTATGTTAAGAACAATGACAAAGATGAAGGGAGAGGGCTTAGCAAATGGGTGTTATAGGCAAGAATTCAGTCAACGTCCTGGCCAAAGGTTGCTTGAATCATTGGGAAAAAAGGGGGAATCCACCAACGAAGAATACAGCCTCAGATTCTGAGTCAAAGTCTAAAACTATATGGAAGACATATAATTATATTCTTACTGGATAAGCACCTTTAATTGCAAGTAAAGAAATGTAATTAAACAATTAATGATGGCCTGGTGGTGTAGCAGTGCTGTCTAGCATACACAAGGCCACTGGGTTCAATCTCCAGTACCAAGCCAGAATTCTCAAAAGGCAGACAGGAACCTGGGACAGGGACAAACACACACTGTTCATGTCTGTGATGTCTTTGTGGGTTTAGTTTTAGTGTTTGTAACATTTTTTTGTTGTTACCGGGGATCTGACTTGGGACCCTGCACTTGCGAGGCAGGCAGCAGAACCACTGAGTTAAATCCCCAGCTCTAGTGTTTGTAACATTTAAGACAATTTTGCCTGTTGGTGTAAAAGATCAATTTGTAATGCTAATTTAACACATTCCCATCATCCAGAACCACTGTGGTAACATGCATGACCCTCCCATCAGATGTCTTTTATCACTGGTGGAACAAACAGATCAAACCATTTTTACTGGTCTTTTTATTAATAAAATTAATAAAAACTCTATAAATACACAAATCGATTGTTGCTTGAATCCGAATATACCCAAATAATACTATTCAAATTTAAAAATTATTATATTAAAAGAAATGTATTTATATTAATGAATAGTTTAGCAATAATTCTCTCATGTTAACATGAAAATCTTACAAATATGTCATTGCTGGTATATATAACAGGCATTGCAACTACTGTACCGCAAATTAGTTGTACTGTAATTTTATATTATTTTAACGTTTTCTTTAAGGAATTATAATATGACATTTCTTCTGCTAAATCAATGCCCTTTTTTTGCATTACTGTAATCAAAGAACCCCTGAGAAGTGGTACAAGCCACCTAATGGACCAGTCATGCATATACTACTAGTGGTTCAAACTGGAAAGATCAAATTCAAATCAACACCTTCTGGAAGCAAGACCTACAGATTATGGTCTCGTTATGAACATGTTAAAGCATGTCAGAACTAGCTGTGGTGATGAATGTCTGTAATAATCCAAGCACTTGGAAGGCTGAGGCAGAATGATCACAAGTTCAAAGCCAGAACAGGCTACACAGCAAGTTCCAGTTAAGCCTGGACTACATATATAGCAAGATGCTGTCTCAAAGGTCAAAACATATCCTAAATTAATTTGGATGTGTGGTTTTGATTTGAAGATTCACTTAATGGTAATGAAATAAAATACTGAGATCATATGTAAGAGATTTATTAAATAGCTGTAAGATTTGCTTTAATATTTGTGAAGGTTTGTCAGAAAACTAAAGGTCTTAATATTGAACATATTAATGTTATTTCAACAGTTTTAACAGATTAACAGTACTACCAGTTTGTAAAAGGAATAAAATATAAATCAGTCTTCTTTTTAAAGAATTTTCTAAATTTATTGTATTTACTTTTACACTTGTATGCTGACTTCTAAACTTAGGAAAGAAGGTAAACTCTGATAAACTACATTTTAAATCTTAAAACCAAAGAAACTGGTGAATACATTTTTTAACATTTTATTTTTGTGTGGTGCTGGAGATTGAACCCAGTACCTTATGAGCACTGGGCAAGGGTTCTAATACTGAGCTACACTCCCCATCTTTCAATTACATTTTTACATTTTTAGAGCTGGTAACGGTGGCATATGCCTGAGGAAAGAAGACTGCAATGTTGAGTCCAGCCTGAGCAACTTAAGTGACTTACCAAGACCCTGTCTCAAAATAAAATATACAAAAGGGCCAGGAATATAGCTCAGTGAAAAGGCCCTGCCTGGATTCAACCCCCGATGCCACAAAAAATAAAAAAACATTTCTTTAAAAAGTCACCTTTGAAGACACCAAATCTTAAATTCTACTCCTTCTACAACAAAGTCAAATTCTTTAAATAGAGAGATCTGTATTATGCTAAATAAGAGAAAGCAACTTTATCTTTATGATTCAAACAGCTGATTTGTTCTATTCTAGTGGAGTGACATAAGAAAACCACTCCTCTTCTACAAACATACATTTCCTAACCAGGACAGTAAGCATTTTCAGAAGAAATCATTTCTTGTATTATTCTACCTCTAAAAGCATCTCACAAGAGACGACCCTTAATAAATAGTAACTATTTGTGGTTCACGAACAGACTTTCAGTAATTATCAGCTTGTTTTTAGATATGCTATTACCTCTGTTACATCCCAATGGTGCAAAAATTGATCCCAGTCTGTAAGGTAGAGAAGCACGGGAGAAAGCTGTGTCTGGACAACATGAGGAACTCCTCGAAGGCTCTGAAGCCAAGTCAACTCCTCTTTCGAAAACCCTAATGCAGGTAAGAAAGCCAACTAAAAAATCACAAAGCAGTAAAACATTCTTCATAATTTTTTAATACACAAATGATATGTACCTTCAAGCAAACCTTTCTTTAAGCTATCTTATTTTCTTTGAGTTCCTGTATCTCCTGTAATATCTAAAGAAACGAGATTCTAGCAATGGAGACACTTAATATAATTACATACACAAAAATATGTGATCATACCCAACCTAAATAAAATACAGCAAAAATGTGTTTTACTCTCTTTTCCTGGGGCTTTACCATATTTATTTTTAAAGAAAGTGTATAATCTTTGCAATTAATAGACAGTAAAAAAAATCAAATAAAAAATAGTATTCTTTCATATATATGCCAAACATTAAATGTTCTTACATAATAACCTTTAAGTGTTTTAAAATTGGTCTACCCCTCAAGTTTGTGTGTGTGTGAAGTGACTGAACTCAGGGCCTCTTGTGCTTGGGAGAATGTATTTGTTGTTTCAGTTGAACCTTACCAAACAAAATTTTTATTCCATTACTACCCTTTATATTTAGCCATACCTATATAGACAACCTGTCCATGTCTCTCCTGAGAACTGTCCTCAGAACTGATACAGCCAAATCTAACCAATGGATGTTCATATCACTTTAGTTACATGACCCTAATAGAGGCATTTCCTATTTGGTAGCTACGTAACAGTACTAACTCCTAATGAATTTTCTAAAATTACTAAAAACTTTCAGACAGATAATTAAAACATAAATCTCTATTTCAATGTACACCCAAAAGTGCCAGATAAACATATAGTTGTTCATATTCATTCATTCATTCATTTATTTTATTTTTGGTACCAGGAATCGTACTTGGGTCCTTGTGCTTGCAAGGCAGACAGCAGAACCACTGGGCTAAATCCCAGGCCCTCCCATTTATTTTTTAAAATACTGATCCTGTTAGATTCAACTTCATGTCAGAATCTGTCAAGTCCACCCCTACCCTTTTTTGGAGACAGGGTCTCGCTGTGTAGCCCAGGCTGGCCTCAAACTCCCTAGTGCTAACATTACAGGCGTGTGCCACCACATCAGGCTTATCAAGTCCATTTTGAATTCTGGCAATATAATTCACTAATTCTCCTAATCAAAGAGCCTGACATCATCATCTAAGTATAAAACAAAGATGTTGAAATACTACCACACAGTCATTTAAAATAACAGTAATAATACTCATCTAACAACATTTCTACTCATTTTAGCAATTCTGTTATAAGGACAAGCAGAATGTAGAAAACAGCTAATCAAAATCTGGTATTAGTAAATTAAGGTGAACATTTTAAACATGTTTAAAATGGATATTGTTAATTTTTTTAAAGCATGCAACAGGATTTTTATTTTCTATGATTATTTTTAAAGCCATTAAGTACAACTCATTGCAAACAAGAATAAAGTTAAGAAATAAGATTGGAAAAATAAATAATAACAACTTTCAAATAATCTTCAAGATTTTGGTACTTAAAATCATGAGAGATTTAAAGACAAATCATGTATCACCCTGCCTTAGGAGCCTGAAAAAATAGGGTATAAATATTCCTTCAACGGTTTCCATGTATTGATCACAGTAAAAAATCATTCCAAGATAGATTAACATCCTCAAAATTCTAAGACAGCAGACATGATTCACACTAGATTTTTTTTTTCTTTGGAACCCAGCAAGTGAATATGGTTACCTGTAAGTGTAGAAAATAAGAAGCTCAAATAGTCCACATCACTCATCAACCAGTCTTTAACTGAATACTTCCATCCAGAAAATGAAGATCTACAATAAACAATGGTAGAATTATTATCAGAAGTATATTTTTCTTTTCTTTTTATTTTTTAAGGGAAAGGGATATGGCTAGAGACTGAACCTAGGGCCTCCATATACTCCATAATATTAAAATATTACCGCAGTCCTATCAATTTGCTATAGTGAAAACAAACCAATATCTTTAAACAAAGCCAAAGTATATACTGTTTAAGTATATATGAGTTCAATACTGTAATATGAAAATTAGAAATTCTATCATTTATATTTATGTACAGTTTCATTTAAAAGCAGAAGTGATCCATATACATGAGATAATGAATATTTCCATTCCACTTCAAAATTAAGTCTCCATGGAGCCAAGATGGAAGCCTTACTTTTTGTTAGTAGGTTTTGCCACTATGTGCTATTTGATTTTTATGAAGTCTTACTCTGAGCAAATAAGTTAAGTTTAATCAAATTCCAGCTTGCTACCTAAGCTAAAGAATCTTAATTAGGCAAAGAATACTTAAGAGTGGTTTAGACAATTATGCATTCCTATTCTTAGCAACATTATAATATAACTAGGTCTGTTTTACAATAGCACAGCTAAGGTACAGGCAGAGGACTTAAAGGAACAGCTAAATGTAAAGTAACTTACTAACGAGGATTACTTGGTTCCTGCTATAAGATCAGTTTCTAGTAAAACCTTTAAAAACTCCTTTCAAGGTAAAGCTAGAAAGAAAGAACATTGTCTATGGATATAACAGAGTTGAGAATGACCAGACCCAAGAAGTTGAAATTACAAATTTTTATTACAGATATCTGAGTAAATGCAACACAAAATTAGGAGTTTCTAATTCACCTGTAAGAACTTAATTTTTTAAAATCACTGTAACAGTTGCATTTGTATTTATTAATATTCTTAAATTGGAGAGATAAAATAACAAAAATATTCTTCTACGTATCATGCCTAGGTAATAAGTTAAGATATGCAGGGGAAATATCACAGGGTAAGAGTTTATAAAAAGCCTACAGACAGCAGTATAGAAAAGTGAAAATATCTTCTGGAACCCAGTGAATACAGGAAGCAATTGTGCCACCCAGTGGTTAAAAGAAACAGTAGTTCTATTTAAGATTTTTATTGGGGAGAAATGACAAGCAATCTATCATCACAGTTTTTAAGAACTATGGTGACCATATATAATGTCCAAGTCAGAATACTTCTGAGAAACAGTGTGATTACTATTTATGGAGGGGCAAAAGAGATAAACTGAAAATGTTCGTGGAAAGTAATATATGTTTATCCTACTTAAAACAAGTCAAATTTTTTTAGTACAAGCAATTTCTCCCTCCTCAAATTTTAATATCGTACATTACTTTTCCATATTTAGGCTTTATATTCCCCCAATCCAGCTGTAAATAAGTCAAGGGCTAAAAGGTTAAGAACCAAGAAAAGGCCAACAGATATGATTATGGAACAACAAAGATTAGGCATCAGAATTTGGTGGTATGTGTAGTCACCGTATTTTAAAGACAGTGTGATACAATGCTTCTCCATTTGTCCCAAACAGACTCTTACAAAGATTTATTACCTCTTGGTAGCCACTGGATGGCTTACTGTTTTTACTGGGTTCAAAAGGATATTTGTTTTCTATGCTGTTCCCAACACCTTTCTGGTGAACCTACAATACAGCAGTATGGGAAAAATGTAAATTCTGAGAAGTCACTACTGGATGGTAAAAAGGCAGGGGCAGCAAATCTAAATAGACTTTTTAAAATCTAAGACAAAATAAACATGAAAAGTTTCTGGCTGATAAGATAGATTTTTCACACACGGAATAACCCACTAAATATCTTGGAAGTACCTTGGTAAGCATCTTGGAAGGCAGCTATGCTCACCACTATACCACCAACACAGACTTAGGTAGTATCTTAATCATAAATTCTTCTGATAGAGGCAGCAGGGCACCGAAACTACAAAAATTGAGTCGAACTTGATCTCAGGGTCCAGTTAATATAACAAGATAAAAATCAGAGAGGCATTTTCTGGTCCCCTTCTATCTTAGATGGAGGCTTTCTTTCAAAAACCTTTTCCTATTCTTGGCCTCCACTGTTCCTGGAATTCATTCTTTGATTTTAGAAAACAAGAACTCAAGTCCTGGATATCTAGCATGTTGGGAGTTTTATTTTCTTTGTTTGGACTATTTTTGCATATTTAGATTACTTGCTGCCCTATTATCAAAAGTTCTCTGTGCAGCTAAGAAGAATGCATATTTTGTTGTTGGGTACAGAACTATAGATATCTACAGCATTGATATAGGGGGAACAGATTAGTTCCCAATCCTGCTAGTTAGCCGAAATGCAAGTTCGTGTTCTCTACAATCAGAGTCTAGGAACAACAGAGGTTGAAAGTGGGAAGTATTTATTGAAAGATAGCTTCTGTGTAAGAGAAAGAAAGGGGACCAGAAAGTGGGTTGCCTGCTCACCCTGCTTCTCAAAGGTGTTTTACAGAGCAAAGCCACAAGATGAGGTTGGTACAAGGTGGGGCAAAACTAGAGTCAACTGATAAGGTAACAAATATGGTCGGTTAGGTAATATTGATCCAATGGGAAATCACCAGGTGGGACAAAACTATGATCAACCAATAAGATTATGCAAAGTATAATCACTTAGATAATAATGAGTAGATGGCAATCAAATGGGGAAGCTAGTCATATATGGAAGGAACCAGGACTTGCCCAGAAGGAATGGGCTAGTGAGATTTTGGTCCCCATCCAAGGTGAATGATCCCTATTTAAAATTATCAATCACTAAGGCCGGGGATTTAGCTCAGTGGTGCCCAAGCACAAAGACCCAAGTTCAATCCCTGGTACCAAAAAAAAAAAAAAAAAAAATCAATCACTGATGTTCTACTCTTCTACTCTAGGGGAAGCATGTGGGTGTAGTACCTTTTCTCTTTCTACACTCTTTTTATAATGCTGACCTTCAGTCAATGTATCTGGATTGTCTTTCATATTGATTCCTGGAGGGCCAGCCCTGTCTGCCAGAGGATAACTAACTTAGCTTCCAGACAGGGATGTAGCTCAGTGGCACCCCAAGCAGCCTGGAAAACACAAGGTTCTGAGTTCCATCCTCATACCGAAAAAAAAAAAAAAAAAAAAAAACAACAACAACAAAACAAGATAAAAATCAGAAACGACTAAAGAAATATTTCAGAAAAATTAATCCATCGAGGATGCCCAGGTTAGATAAAAATCACAAAGCAAAACTTTTACACTAACAAATGTAATAGTAGGAGATAATTAAAAAGTTGGCTAGTAAGGGCCAGGGATTTAGCTTAGTGATTCCGTCATCTGCCTCCCAAGCACAAGGTCTGTAGTTTGATCCCCAGTACCAAAAAAAAAAAAAAAAAAAAAAAAAATTTGCATTTTTTGTTTAAAAAAAAGGCTACTCTGAATGGAGATAATACATCTAGAAAAAAAATGTAACTCTATACAATTACTAAGCAAAACCTAGCTTAGACCTTTAATTACAGTAACCATCAAGTGTATGTGTACACGCATGCTAAATATGCACTTTCCACTGTATTACACCCCAGCCCAATTCTGCTTTTAACGATACGTCCTTGTTTCTAATACTTGTAGTTTAATGCTTTTTTCAGCTCTCACTACAAATATCCAGTACAGTAAAGTTTTTTAAAAGCAAACCTTTTGCAATTATCCTTAACTAAGCTACTAAGCACAAGTGCATCCTAACTAATGTTGATGAAGATATTAAATACAGCTTCCAAAGGGAATTTCAAGAAATGTTCAGAGGTCTTAAATGAATGCTAAAGTTATCCGTAAGAAACAGTGCCCTCCACTGGAAGTTAGTAAATAGAAAACAACTTCAGTTATAGCAAAATACTGTAACATTAAAATTTTTTAAAGGCTTAGCACTAAGTAAATGCTTACACTAGAGAAGGTACAATTTCTAAGAAGGAAAAAACTGGAAATTAATCAATGTTTATAAAATACTTAGAAATATGATCAAATCTCTCTAGTGCACATACACAGAGATGAAGTAAATATGGAATTTTCATATACAGCATTTTGTAAACAGCTCTCTTCTGCTAGAAGAAAAGGTATAATCAGTTAAGAAGTACACTTCCAGTTATAGTCAAATCTTTGCCCCACACCAGTGGTGATGAATCTACAGCATACATGTCACATCCAGCTGTTTATCACTGAAAGTTCTAAAAAGTCCACCATCACTGACCTATTATTCAACATGAAAAGATGAGGAAAGTAAGTCTATTAAAAAAGTTGGGCCAGGAATTTAGCTCAGTGGTGCCACCTGCCTCAAAAGTGAGAAATCCTGAATTCAATCCCTGGTACAAAAAAAAAAAAAAAAAAAAGAGAGCATTTTTCACCTGTTAAAAAAAAAAAAAAAAAAAAAAAGTGAGCTATTTCTACCTGTCTTTAATAAAACAATTCATCTACAACCTAGCTTTCAATTTGTGCCTAGAGCAATACCTGACTCTTCCCATCAACCACTAATAAACACTGATGAACACTAAAATACTGTGACAGAAGATACAGTGTTTGCTGACGCTTTAAACATTGGCAATATGAAACTGTTAGAAAAACCTTTCAGAGAAAAATGGTGCAGCCACTGTAGAAAACAGTATGATAGTTTCTCAAAAACTTAAACACGTGGGGCTGTAGTTGCAATTTAGCAGTACAACACTTGCCTAGAATGTATGTGCAAGGCCTTGCGTTTGATGCCCATGCCCACAAAAGTAAATAAATATATAAATATAGCATTATTGTATGATCCAGTAATTCCATATTTGGGTATATAGTCTCCCAAAATTGAAAGTCTTAAAAAGTTCATAAAAGCATTATTAAGAGTGCCAAAAGGTGGAAACAACCCCTACTTCTATCTGCACTTGAATGAACAAAATGTATACATACAATGGAATATTAGCCTTAAAAGGAATAAAATTCTGGTACACACTATGTGAAGAACCTTAGGGACAAGTTTTTATTTATTTTGAGACAAGGTCTCATTAGTTCAGGCTGGTCTTGAACTCACTATGTAGCCAAGGCTGGCCTCAAACTCCTGTCCATCCTCCTGCCTCAGCCTCTCAAATTTTAGGATTAAAGGCGTGCACCACCATGCCCAGCTCCTTAGGGACAAGGTTTTGTTTCGTTTTGTTTTAAAAGCTAAGTGGAAAAGAGCAGAAACACACACACACACACACACACACACACACACACACACACACACACACAACCACCAGAGTATGACTGCATTAAAATGCAGTATTTAAGATAGTCAAAACCTTAAAGACAGAAGACAACAGTGGTTACCAGAACCTAGGGAGGAGGAGGAACAGGAAATAATTATTTAATGGGCACGAATTTCAGTTTGGAATATTATAATGGAAAACTTCTGGAACATACCATTAGAATCTTAAAACTTAGAATTTTATGTTATGTACATTACATGAAACATATACAAACTACAAAAAATTTTAAGTGGTTCTTCATCTGAGTCCATAAATCCTCAGATCTGAGTTTCTATCACAATTTCCTAACTCCTGAGATTAAAGTACTCTTAACTACAGGCTTTGTATTATTCAATTTTAACTCTTACTCCAACCTACATAAATATCTAAACAAGTAACTTCATATAGTCTTACTCTAGCAAATTTTCTCTAGCTAGTGAAAATATCAGCAGAGTTGTAATTGAGGCACTAAGAATAAACAAAACTGACTTTAAAAACCTTTGTATTTTACAAATTTTCAGTTAGAGGAAAGGGGGAAAATATTATACACTTAAATACAGTTCACTTGAGCATATTACCTCATGTACACTATCCCAATAAGCATGGTAGCCAAACTTGAATTGAGTCTTCCCATAATACAACAGCGACTTAATCGAGAAAGCAAATCAGCAGGCAGGCTGGGCAGAAAATACACAAGCTGAATCAATCGATGCTGAGACTCTGCAGGGAGAACCACCACAGCACCTTCCTGCGGATCTGTGGATGACAAAGAGGTTAAATTCAACTATAACAGAGAGTAAACACACAAGGCAGATTGATGACTTTCACTGAATTTATAGGCTGACAAATTATGCTGAATTTCAATTACATGTAAAAAATGTTATGATAAAGCAAGTATGTATGGCTGATTATGCTACCTCCTAAAGTAAAACCCTGAACATAATCATTTAAAGATTTAACACTATAATAATTTCATAATATTTAAGTGTCTTGTTAGAAATAACTTTAATAAGGATAAAAGGGAAGGGGATTATGCACTAAGAACAAAAGCACAAAGCAATTCTGCTTAACAGTAGCAATTACAATATCAACCTCATTTAATCCAAAGACCTAATCGCTTTGTATAGTTATGTGCAATATTTAAAAAATATATAACCCACTAAACACAGAAACCACTCAAATGTCCATCACTTCATAAATTAATACAAGTAGCAAATCAATACAAGGGAACACATCTCAGCAATAAAAAAAGATTGAAGTACTGGCACTTTCTACACTGAAAATATGCTATGGCAAAGAAGCTATATGTGAAAGACCTCATATAATTTTATTTGTAAATGTCCACAATATGTAAATTCATAGAGACCAAAAGTAGAATAGTGGTTGCCAAGAACTGTAGGAAGGAGGAACTGAGGAACAAACTATTGAGTACAAGATTTCTTTATGCGATGATGAACTGAATAGTGATGACAGCTGTACAACTTTAGGAATATGTTTAAGAAATCACTGAGTCTTAAAAATGGTAAATTTTATGCTAATTATCTCAATAAATATAAACTATATGTATATGTTTGTATGCATGCGTATTTATTTCAGTATACTTCTATTGATATTTTGCTTAAAATGTAAGTAACAGGAATGAACAAATATATAGAAGCCATATAAAATGTTCACTACGATTAAGGGACAAAGGCATGATCTTGCCATCAAAGCTTCAAAACGAAATTTTACAGTACTTTATCAGTTTTGAATTTATGATAGCAGGTGGCTTCAAAGATAATTTTACAATGCAAAAACACTCACAATCATTAATCACCTATAATTAGTCTAATAAACAATGCTACTGAAAATAAACTTATTTTTGATGTTTTGCTTGGGCAATGTACCTACTGTATGACTAATTAGGAAGATTGTAGATTTAGAGACTCTGAAGGGCTTCCTTGAAATCTTCTTTCCTATTTTGGGATAGATCAAAGACTACCTGTATCATGAAACAAACTCTTACCATAAATCCGCAGTGAAGTAGCTTGTAAACTTTTAAGTAATTCTTTATTTGCTCGTGCTGCAGCAGTATGGATAATATCAATTAGCTGTGTTGAGAGCTCAGGGTTCCGGGAACCAAGATGAGCAAGTTGCAATGGTAAACCCGCCAGCCAACGGGATAACACTTTACTACGATATCTAGGAAGGTCAAGAAAGAATATTGTAAAGTGTGATTTTCAAAGGCAAGGAAAATAAAGTTAAACAATGAAAAAAATTTTCAACTTAAATATTACCAACAAGGTGTACAAGTAACACTACATTTATCCCTTTTAACATTCACCCTTGTAAAATGCCAGCACAATTTATTTAGTAGTAACACAGCATTTTCCAATGTATTCTCCACTAAATTAGGAAGTTCTATAATTTGGGGCCCTATCTCAATTGCACTTTTATATTAAAGGACACAGACACTACTTAATGTTTCTTGAACTATTTATCCTAGTTATGTTAATTACTACACTGTACTAACAAACTGATACATTTATGTTGCCTCTACACAAAGTGGCTTCAAACTTGGGTAATTTTTATCATTAGCTAAATCTAATGTCTTTCATAATTTTTTTTTGCTGTGCCGAGTAAGCTTAATGATCTAACCAAGGATCTGCCCTTAAGTTTGCACTGAGGCCTAAGCTCTACTATCTGTTAGTTACAGCATTACCTGCCAACTTATTTAACCTCCTGTTAAATAAACAAGTTTTTATTTGCTTCTGTAAAATAAGACTAATATCCATACTACATGAGAATCTCTAAGGCTACGAAAAACATCTGGCTTATAGTAAAGATCAGACTATATTCCAACTACCTACATATGCTGAGGTATCCCCTAAATCTCTATCTTCCACCTACACATCCTTCCTACTATTCCAAATGAACTCAAACTCACGTATTAAAAAGTTAAATCCTTAGTTCCACTCTTGGTGTTATCATCTGATAGTACAAAATGAAGCCAAAATCCTTCTCATCTTCAACTCCCTTCACTCTTACCCACATTGCCCTGTACGTCATTAATGGCCAATGATTCAACTGCACTTTTTTCTTAATGGTACTGGGGATTTAAGCCCAGGGTCTTCACACTGAACTCCCATCTCCAAGTCCTTTTTTATTTTTTGAGACAGAATCTTACTAAGTAACCTAAGCTAGGCCCAACCTTAGCGATCCTTCTGCCTCCATCTCCCAGAGTGCTGAGAGTGCAGGTGTATGCCATAATTTTCATGAGAAGGAAATGAAAAAGGTGTACCCGCACAGGTTGTTCCATCTATTCTTTACCTACAAGTGACAAGTGTAAATAAATGATGGACAGGCTTTTATCTGTTTAGATACATATAAAAAGTTCACTTAATTATAAGTTTATACTGTTTCTTAAATACATCAAATGGAATAAAAAGAGAGAACTTCTATAAAGATTTGATCACTTTACTGACTTATTTAAGTAGACTACAAAATAATGTGACAAGAAAAAGAAAAGAAAAACAAAACTTTACCTGAGTCTGTAAGCTCTCAGTTCTTCCCTCTGGTAGATTTTACTGAAAAACTTCAGTAACAAAGTCCGAACTGGAAGCAGAAGGCCTCTCTGCTGATACAATGTATAAACTGCCTTAATAAGAGCCTCTGTAGCCTCTAAAAATATAAATAATTTTGTGTGTGAAGTTATTTCTTCAACAGTCCCCAAATTCCTCTAAATGCACAGTACTTTTTCTTTGTTCTTATGGCAAAGCATAAACTAATGATGATATAAATATAAAAGTCCTATAGGAATAGCATGCATAAGAAAAAGTCAAATGAACCAGAAGTTACAGTATAAATTTTCTTAAAGGACAATAAACCTCAGTAAGAATCACAAAAACTAGGATTATCAGAAAGTGAAGTAGATGGGAACAAAAGAGGAAAACTTTGATTCTGAATGAAAACAATTAATAAGTAAATTACTCCAAAAACTGACAATGTATGTAATTTAACCTAGATCTAGAAGATACACACACGAGTCATTCTACATTGATCAGAGGAAAAAAAACCTCTCAATTTATAGTCAGACTAGATCAGAGGATCATAGAAATCTTTCATCAATCCGCTTCAGAATGGACCTAGTCCCCAAAAAAGAATCATAAACTATTTCTGTGTTTAAACAGATAGTACTCTATGAATACTTAGGCTAGTTACCTTTAATAGCTTGAATGAATTAACTGCATAAAATGTCTATAAATCACCATTTGATAGCTAGATCCTAAATAGTATGCGTTAAAAGTTCATCTCTTAAATAAGGACAAAAGAGCATCACTTACCTCTGTTTGGTTGTATCTGCATTAACCTCCACGACACTCCAAGCAATCTGTTCAGCTGCTTACTGTTTAGCCCAGAGCCATCTTCAAGAGTCTCTGTCACAAATTTTCTTATCATTTCTATCCAACCAGAATCATTCTGCAATGTTGAGGAATTTGCCAAGGAGACCATGATATCAGATAGCGTTAAATTCAGTAAGAGATGATCTACATTATTGGAGAGAATCGTGCAATTCTTGATGCTAAAAACAAACAAAACACACATACTTATCTGTAAAGTACTGTTACCCACTCCTGCTTCACTTGAAAGTATTCAAGGTAGTCTATAAATTGATTTTAAAATTTCTTTCTAGAATTAATAAACTGCCAAAACAGTATTAGGCAAGGTTTAGGTCACGATTCTGTAACTTACTCAGTATGGGAATCAGGGTTATTTTAAAAAAATGAATTCTATAACTATGCTTTGATTTAGTATGATGGTCTTAGGTGTTTTATATATTTCTGGCCTATTACTCTGGTTGTTAATCTGATTGTGTTAATTTTATAAGAACTTAAATTAATCTGATGCTGGCTAAACAAAAGGGGGCAGAAAGAGGGGGAAGAAAAGAATTGAGGTATGTTATGTACATGTACCAATTCCCTATAAAGAATGTAATCATGTATTGCAAACATACTAATTTTTTTTAAAGTATGAATAGCTCAGTTCATTACTGAAATTATTTACCCAGAAGGCAAACTGCCTTATATTACCTAAGAATCTCAGAAGACTTGAGAGAGAACAAGACCTGAAAACCCCAACATACTTGAGGATTTTTATTTGGATGACATCATAGATGCTAGCTTTGCTTCTAATTAATCATTTGAATTGAAAGAATCATTTTTCTTCTAGCTATAATTTCCTCATACATGAAATAAGGAGACTAATCCAGGGAAGCACTGGCTGAAATGACCTAATTCTAAATTCACATATTAAAATCAGTCCATATGTCTTTCAAAGTCTAAAAGAAACTTCAAAATACCTCAAATAAAATACTTAGTGAAAACAAAATCTTCAACTTAGAATACACTCATTTATGACTATTCAATAGTAAAGGCTATTTCTTTCATGTAAAAATGTAAAGTTGACTAAAATCATAAATACCCAAAAGTAATTCAATTTAAAGGAAGAGTAACCCTATATTAGATTTGAGCAAGAAAATAGTAGTGAAGAACCACATATACATGAGAAAGGAAGAAAAAGAAATTTGGTGCTACTGAACACCAAATGCAAGAAGGCTAGGGATGACAAATGGGAAAGGTAAAACAAGTCCAAATTACAGTGTCAGTAGCTAAAGACATAAAAATTAATTCTGTAGGCAAAGGAGTAACACAGCTGCTAGCTTCCTTCAGATGGATTATGTAAATGCAAAAGGAAAAACTGAGTCACTGACTATAAAGAAGCAGTTATGTAGCTAGTCAAGCAATCCAGGCAAGAGGTGGCAAGGGCAAGAACCAGGATTAACATTGGCAAATGTGGTGGTGGTGGGGGTAAATTAGCTGATTTTAAAATCTGCTTAAATGGATACATATACTGTATGTAAGTTTGGGGACAATAGAGATGGCAGGAATCAAGGGTTTTAACACTGGTGAAAAGTTTATAGAGATGATGACAAAAAAGGAACCCAGAGAAAAATTCTGTTAGATATGTTCTACTAGAAGTGTTGATTCAACAGACAATTCATTGTACAATAGTACCTTGGTTCACAAACGCTTTGGTTTGCAAACAATTTGGTTAACAAACAGAAGCACTTGACAAAATTTTGTTTTTGCCTGAAAACTTTGCATCAAGTGACAAACACGATTGCACCTATCTTTTCCAAAATTATAGAACAAATTAAATTTGTGAACCAAGGTACCACTACTGTGTAAGTTCTGACACAAGTAGTATCTGAGCAATGCCAATGAAATTACCTATATTCTTTGGAAGGTGCAAAGAAAGATGGTAAATCTAGTGTTTATTTTATATATCCTTATCTCCAGCTAACAACTGAAAATTCTATCAAAGAGACAATGGAGCTGCTGGGAAGGTAGCCCATGGTATAGCACTTGTCTACCATGCTTGAAGTTTTAAGTTCAGTCTCCAGCACAGGAGGAAAAAAGAAAAATGAATAGGGAAGATATACAACATTTCTTCCCCAAAGATAAGGCTTTATAAAATCTACCCTACATTTATGCCATGCAGCATAATCTATTACTCTCTGGAAGGACTCAATGGACATTTGCAAATTTCAGAGCTCATTCTGCTCGTCTCACAATCTACACAAAAATTTTAAAGACTAAATGTATTAAATGTTAGTTCTACAAGGCAGGTGAGTGGCTGGTATCTAGATGTCCCTCCCAAGCCTCATGAGCTCAATAGGTGGGGCTTTTGGGAAGAGGCTGTATCATAGCTGTGGTATATTAAGATTTAAGGATATGTGGTACTGGATTAGTCTACTAACTGTTTTATCATAGTTCTGGGTGTGGATAGTGGGAAGGTCTAACCTGGGTTTCAGGGGCACCACCCAAAAATCTTGTAGCATGTATGGGACAAAAGGGAAAGGGAAACATTTCTGCCTGCTACCTCTTGCCTGCTCTGCCATGGACTATTTCTACTCTGTGATGCCCTTCTGCCAAGCCACTCTACCTTGAGCCAGGCAAGCATGGAATGAACCCTCTACAACTGTGAGACAAAATAATTTTCTCCTCCTTTAACTTGTGGTTATCAGGTATTTTGTCCCAGCAAACAAAAAGAAACTAAGACAGGTAGTATAAGTAATTAGAACCAAATTCCTATGCTGAAAATACTTTTAAAAGCTAGATGAAATCATTTTTTTTAATCTTAAAAGCACTAAAGTGCTAATAAGATAATAAAAATTTACTGGGTCCCAAAATCTAGGAAAAAGCAAAATCTCAACATTCAAGATTTAAACCTGAGGACAACTTCCAGTTCCAAGGAAAAAGCTGCAAAAGTAAACTAACCTTCTAGTGGTCTTGCAGGGAAAAGAATGAAAAATTCAGAGCTGGGGATTTAGCTCAACAGTCCTGAATTAGATCCCCAGTACCAAAAGAAAAATTTAAAGCCCAGGACCTGATAATATTAATATTAGCCCTACAGTAAGCCAGACCAGTAAAGAATTCTCTCCCAAGGTGAAAATGAAAATAAAGACAGATCTTAGAAAAATGGAATCCCAGGTTCTAACTCATTCTGTTTTATTTTATTCTGTGGTTCTGGAAATTCAATCTAGGGCCACACAAATGCTAGACAATGCTCTTGCCACTGAGCTACATCCCAATTTTTTTTGTTTTTTTTTAACTTTTAACTTTGAGACAAAGTATTGTTGGTTTCTCAGGATGGCCTCAAACTTGAAATTCTCCTGCCTCAACCTTCCAAGCAGCTGGGATTACAGATACATGCCACGGCCATCTTCATCCTACTGTCTTAAGGAACAATTTTTCCCATAACCCCAATCAAAACTCCAAGCTATTTTGTTATGATGAGGATAAAGCTGAAGTCTATAAAGAAAAGCCAAAACCAGAACACCCAAGAATGAAACAGAACCAAGTTGGAAGACTATTATTAAACACATTTCAAGAATTTACAGCAATCAAGACAAGGCACTGGTGAAAGAATACACATACATAAATTAACTGAACAGTGGTTTCCCAAATAGACCCCCCAAATAGTTTAGAGAACTCTGACGAAGCAAAGGCAATTCAACACATAAAAAAATACTTTTATCAAGAAAACAATTGGTCAGAAATTCTACAACTTTTTAAAAAATAAAAACAGAAAATTAAAATTCAATACATTTGTGCCAAATTATAATTGAACATAGCCAAACAATTAAAAACAGGAAGACAAGAAATAAAAACAGGAAAAATAACTACAGGTTTCAATAAGTAGATCTGATATACATTTGGAAAGGACAGAAAATGAGACAATAGCACTTTTTTAAAAAGGTAATGACAACTTTACAGAACTGATTACTTTTTAATCAAGTTTCAAAAGCTCAGACTCAGTAAGTCCTCTGAACCCAAGAAAAATAAATAAGAAAATGATACTTGTCGATACATTATTGTGAAACCACAGAATATGAAGGAAAAAAAATTAGGGGAAAAAAAAAGAGTAACTCTTATCAACATCATAGAATACAGCATAATTCATTCATAAAGAAGTATGAACTCAGGTCATTTACAATACAGATGGATCTGGAAAAAAATCATGTTAAGCAAAATAAGCCAAAAGCACGTACGTCTCTTATATGTGAAAATTTAAAAAAATAAAAACTTTCATTTTAAAAAATGACCTCAAGTTGAAATTTTTAAAACTGCAAAAAAGTATCAACATTGTCAACCCATCAATGACTTTTTCACAAAGCAATGAAACCAAGAGACAGCAAAATGTTACTGCCAATATGCTAAAGGAAAATAATCACCAAACCTAGAATATTATACTCTGCTAAAACATTCTTTGAAGGGAAATGGACATTTTCAGCCCCCACCGAATCCAGAAGATTCTTAATGATCCCAGATGGAACGACAGATGAAAGAGAGAAAGTAAAAACAGAAAACTGAAGGATAAAATTCATAGTGAGAGCTAGTTCTCCAAAATATCAACGCACAAAAAACAAAACAAAACAAAAACAAACAAACAAAAAAATCCAGGCCAGGCATTTAGCTCCATGGTTCTGACACCTGCCTTTCAAGTGCAAGGGGACCTGAGTTCAATCCCCCATATCAAAAAACAGAAAAACAAAAACAAACAAACCAAAATATCAACTGCAGCTCAAAATCTCAAATTTTATCTGGCAAAAAATGTCCACTATTCTCCTTGGATTGATAGGTTCACTTTATTTTCATGAAAATGCCTGCCAAATACCAGAATCGGAACAGCCAATTTGCCTTGGACACATGCTAAGATACACCTGGATATCTGAAACCATAATGGTATAGATTTTTGTAAAGATACATACCTATGATAAAGTTTAGCTTGTAAATTAAGCAAAGTAACATTAAAAAATAACTAATGAAACAATAATTAAAACTATGTACTATAATAAAAGGTAGTATGAATATGGTTTCTGTACTCATTCGTCTTGCAATGACATGAAGTGACATAATGCCTACATTATGATGAAAATGAGAATCATGTCAGCATTATGACAGTCTAAAGGGTTACTAGAACACAAGAAGTGAGGTACTGCAATAGTGCATTTGACAA